CCCCGGGTCAGGGTGGACCTGGGAACACCAGCGATCAAGAGGTGGTTCTACGCTCCTCAAAACCTCCTGATCAGAGGCCTTGCTGTCGGATGTAGTTTATCGTCTTACCCAGAACCCGGATGTAGTTTATCGTTATACCTATGACGGACACAAACAAATATATACACAAAAGCTGAGTATCAACTACCATGTATTCAACCGTGGCATTTTTATTACTTTCAAGCTCACAAGAAAATTAAATTTTGGCAGTAAATGACCCATAAAGAGTTGATATTCTGTTAAAAATCAATCAGAAGCATCAAGCTAACACCAAAGCCTAATTTTCAGAGTTATTTCAATGATTCAGAGTTAATAACGGTTTAACCTAGGTAGGAAACATCGTTTACTAGTTTCTGTAAAAAAAAATTGTTCTAAAAGCAGTTTTATATGATTGAATTTTATGATATAAAGACCGGATAACCAACTATTTGTTTTCTAAAAAACTTAAATTTGATTCGTACTGGTTAAATTCACGTGAAGACACGTAGGTCAACATTAGCATAACTTATTGCACAACATACGATATATTCTCCAGGTCATGTTTCTTTAATAAGTGTAGAAAACAGTCTGTCTCGTCCTGAGTTCTACGTGTTTCCATTTTCTCTCAAACATTCTCATTGATTACATGTTCAGTCCATGTTATTCTCACTGTCTTTGGAACCACATTTCTTAAGTTTCGAGTTTTTTCATCCTCTATAAGGACATTCCCAAGCATTTAATGCCATATATGAGATTAGATACGACATCACAATTCAGCATTCTTTTCTGTTTCTACCAGAATTGTCTTAAATGCAGCGTATAAAAGGAAACCACGATTTGCACGCAGACTACTGCATAAAACATGCAACTGTACAAGAAATATTATAATTTTATGTAACGGAAAACTAATGATGTGAAAAAAAAATTATTTTTGTTGTCGTATAATGACATTACATTTAATTAGAGTTCGAAGCGCGTATTTCCTAACATCAAAATCGATTTCAAATATTTATAGATTAATGATAATATATAATGCGATTTGAGGTATTTCAACTTTGAAGATGTTTTTTTTTTCCTCCACTGAACTTTGCCAAACATTGGTTTCGATCCAAGCGCGTAGGATTTTAATTGAACATTATATTTCATAACCCAGAAGACATTTCTTCGCATTTAAAAAACGAAATAATGGCCATGAAAATGCTGCTACTAATACTACTACTACTACTATTGCTACTACTACTACTACTAATAATAATACTAAAACTAATAATAAACGCCAGATATAGCAGTAATAACTTATGAATTTACTCGACTGGAATTCTTTACATGTCCGTGTTTTATCTTTGTGAATTAAGATGGGATACTTTAAATGTCACGTTGAGTACCACAGATTTGCTTGTCTGTTGCCTGTCCTTAACTCCTTGGGTGTGTACCCTAGAGACTGAGGCAGAGTGGATCTTTGTTGAGAAGCGGATGTAGTAAAGGTGAACCATGGTCGGGTGTCACGAGGGCGGAGTTTGTTTAAGTTTAAAGGTTGAGGCCGCCAACTGGACATTGGAATTCCATCTAGATACATGGAAAAACTCTCAATCGACGACCATCTAAATAGACTAGGTTGTTGGACATGCAGACATGTCTATCTCGGCACCACCTGCAAGGTTAGGCAATGCTTTTATCGAAACCTGTCATTATATCGGATATTTATTTGGCTGTAATGCACGTGCTTGGCATATTCTTATCAGGCCGTATATGAGGCTTCGTATATTTTTAGCCATTTTTTGGTCTAATGCTCTCTCAATCAATCACTCACTCAATAATAATAATAATAATAATAATAATAATAATGATAATAATAATAGTAATACAATTATATGGGACTACACAATACACACTGACAGAACAATCAAAGCCAACCGCCCAGATATTGTTTTTAAAGACCACAAACAAAAAAAGTGCCTTCTTATTGATATGGCAGTCCCTGCTGACTGCAATGTATCTTTGAAGATATTCAAAAAGTTGTCAAAATACAAGGACCTTGAAATAGAAATCTCGAAAATGTGGCATATGGGAACATCAACAATCCCTGTTGTAGTTGGAGCCCTAGGACTGGTTGGAAAAGATTCCAGTTGACTAATTGAAGGGATTCCTGGAAATCCATGCCTCAAGGAGATACAAAAAAATGTTCTGACAAGTACAGCCCACACTTTACGAATGGCTTTATCTATGTAATTTTTTTTTTGTCAGTGGAAAGTGCCATGATGCCATTTCTAACCTTAGGTCCCTAGGCGGGACCCGAAAGGAAATGTGTAAACGCCAGAAATCAAAGATGATAATAATAATAATAATAATAATAATAATAATAATAAGAAGAAGAAGAAGAAGAAGAAGAAGAAGAAAAGCTATCAATCTGACACATGGGAACATCAACAACCACTGTTGTGCGTGGGGCCCTCGGATCGGTTGGAAAAGACTGCAGTAGGCTCATATGACCTATAAGTGGTAAATTCGCAAAGTTTAACTTTCCTCATTACGTGTCCTAGAAGTTTCAAGATACAGATTTGTTAACAAGTACCACATTTCCTTATTTTTCTTTTACTTTCGGTATGTCCTGTGAGTGTTACATTCTCCAGGTATTCTTTCCTTGATATATATCTTAGAAAATCATGATACAAACCTGTTAATAAGCAAATTTTTAAAGAAGGATAGCATTTCGCTTAATTAATATTAGAAGTTAATATTCCTTATCACAGATGTCAATTGTCAAATATTTATTTTGATATTTAGAAGCGAGACTTAATGTATTTTTTTTATCTTTGAAGTTGTCTTTTCAAAAAGATAGCTGTAAGGTGCATGCGTTTAATTCTAGATTTACTTCAGCACTCGCTCGATGTTAATAGAATTCTCTTAGATACATTTTTTAGTATTTAACTTGTAGCATGTTATCACATTACAGATTAATCACTTTCTTTTGAATGGTAGGTAACATCTGCTCATTCCTGAATAAATGGATAATTTTGTTTTGTAAGTTCTTATGCTCATTAAGAAACATCAAGTTGTCAACAAAACCTAATTTCCAAGACTATTTTAGTGTTCGATGTTTAATAACAAGAGAAAAAAATTCTTTTTTCTTTTTTTTTTTTCTTTTTGTTGTTAAAAAGTGCACAAAAAAACCCACTTTAAAGTGATTGAATTACGTCTTTTTTTTAATCGTTTCTTTCCAAGAAATGCCAATAGAAACGCAGCGAGTTTTAGGCAGTTAAAGGGAAGGTGAAAATGAAAGAGAATGGGTATAAGAAGATTGAGAAAAAGGGAGTATTTGCTAAAGGACAAAAGGATAGAGGGTCCATGAAGACGATAGACGGCCATTGACGCTGCATCTAAATTTTTAAAGATTGTAATTATCGGGGAAGCAAGAAATCGGAAAGGAGTTTCAAGGCTAGGAAGTGCGAGAAAAAAAAACTGTTAGAGTAAAAGTGTTGTTTGCATCTAACTTGTTCAAGGGTAAAATGCTAAGACTTAGTTATCAATCTAATAGCACGCTTAAATTCATGTAGTCTGAGCAACAGGAAAAAAAGCTCCTTCGACAACATGTTATGAAACTATTTCTAGAACAGACCGGGAGAGGCCACGACAAGTCGGCGAGAAAGAGACTGTGGACGAGATGCCAAGTCAGGATCGATTATATTGCAGATTCTTCTCCGGATTTTGTCAGATTTCACGAGATGCGCAGCGGGAGCACCAGACCAAATGTGGCAACAGTATTCAATACACAGACGAATGGTCGATTTATAAATCTGCAAGATGGATCCAAACGAGAAAAGTTTTTGGCACGACACAGTGAACCAACCTTCCTTGCAGCATGCTTTGCAATTGACCGATACAGTGGATCCACTTCATGTCAGGGGAAAACGTGAAACGAAGTAAGCATAAAGTGTTGCTCTCCTTCAACATCAGCCATCCTTATGGCATGAAGCTTGATGGAAGGATCAGGTGTTCATCTCCTTTTGTCAAAAATTCCTTAAACTGCTAATAACTTAAGTCCACGCGAATGAATAAAGATCACTACAGACATTTCTTGTTAGATAACAGACGTTAGATTCATATATTTTCGATAAATTCTATGATGATAAATGCGTTATCATTTGTAACTCCAAGCAATGTTTTTATTTTCCATTACTGTTCATCCTACCTCATTTTCAACGATTCATCTATACGAAATCATTTGCTTACAAGACTTTTTTCTTCTTTTCTGTGAGTGACAAATTTTCCAGGCCTTCTTCTATCATTATATGTCCTGGAAATTTCCCATCATCATTTTTTAAAACAGCAATTCTGTTACCACAAGTCCCTTTTTCCTCACTGAAGTAATTGCTTAGTATTATGGTATTTATCAATCCACCCACGGGGATCGAATGCGGCACAAGGCCTTTTTAATGTGGGTATCTCTGAGCCCGTAGGCCCAGCCAAAAATAAATAACCATCCAAACCCGCCGAGGCGGGCCAGTTCCGTCAACCTCCCCCAACGAAACCCTACCCTTCGGCGGAGCTTCGTCCGGGTTCCTCTCTGCAGATACTACACTTTGATCCTAGCCACCGGGCCAAATTGCTTAGTATTATCTGCTACGTTTGAAGATTGCTATTACGTATACTCTTTCCTTTATTTCTAAAGAAAATATATGATTTTTAATTGAATATTTAATTCAATGTTTTCGCAATTATTACAGATTGGTATACGATTCATCTGTCGATATTTTATTTGCATATTAATCATTTCCAGTTGAAAATTAGGGCATAGTAAATGGATTTTGCAGTTTCGAAATTCATTTAGCAGTTGCATCGAAGCCTTAAAAATCCTGATTTGAGTTCAAAAAATATAATAGGTAATACTTTCTCTAGCGTTTTATGGCCAACTTTCATTATTTTAATACGCACTTCGGATTTCAGTGTCACATTTTCCGTCGTCTGATCAGACACTTCACAGCTTGCGGCTATGTCTTGTTGAAACACCGGCTCCCATAAGATCACTGAAATTAAGTAACGACGAGCTTGGTTATTACCTAGATGGGTGACCGCTTGGGAATACCAGGTGTTAATGGGAGTTAGTCAAGTCCCAATTCTAGATGGCTTCGTTATATTCATTTACTAGCAAATATCATTGCGAACGGTATGATTCCAGCACTTTTTCCCCAAGCTATGGGTTAAGTTGCAAAAATGTTTATCACTAAAACCATTACTATTTTCTCACCCCCCGCCCCAAAAAATTGTGCACAAAATAATTAGATATAGGTAAATAGTGATTTTCTAAGCACAAGAGCATGGTGCAGACAATGAGGATCGAACTCACTATTCAGTCCTAACTGTTTTAGCGAGACAAGGTTACTAACCATTACATCACGCTGAAGTGCCCAAGATGTGGTACAATGCCGAATATATGAGGTACCGAGTGAGGATCGAACTCACTATTCAGTCCTAACTGTTTTCGCGAGACAAGGTTGCTAACCGTTACACCACGCTAAGGTACCTTAAACCTTGGCAGTGAATATGCCGCTAAACATATACAACCAACATTAACTAGATATTTAAATTTCTCTATTTGCTTGCCTTTTCAATTCATAGCTCGACTCTTGGACTCTCCTACTTGCTAAGACCCATAATGGTCATTAAATGTTTCACATTAGACAGGTTTTGTAAATTTGTCCAAATAAATCTTCTTTTACCCCGGGGATTTTTTAAGGCGGTTCTTTAATTAATGAAATACTATCTACATTATTTATGTTAGGACTATTGTCTTCATCATTGTTGTTGCTATCACCAGTATCGATTTTTTATAGATTTTTTTCCAGATCGGTTCCCTTCGTCTATCACATGGGGCCCGTAGCGATAGGATAATTTCTTTCTGAATTCCATGAATGAGGAGTTCTCATTTATTTATATTCGGACTTTTGGCCTCTTTCTTGTGGTTAAATCAAATATAAACAGTGTAGTTAACGATGACTCCAAATCCAAGAAATTAAAATTTAGAAAATGCTGGCTTTTTTCCCGCCCTTTTTTTCCAGGCTTGCGGCCAAATAACGTAGAAACAACAATTCCTATACGGCCACCAAAGTTAAGAAACATCGAGCCTGCTCAATACCTAGATGAGTGACCGCTTGGGAACACCAGGTGCTGTATGGTTTGATTTGCGGTGGGGGTGGGCGTAAAACATAATATGTCGGAATTATGGATCGGAGAGCCGAGTACCAATTCCAGTTGCGTTCTTTATATTCATTATCATCATCATCATCATCATCATCATCATCATCATCACCTTGACTCAATCGTGAGTGGGGGTGGTTGGATCCAAATCCAGAAGATATATTGAATCTTCTCCACAACTATTAATCAGCTGTATCCATCAGCAATTCAGGTAGAGTCCTACTTCTTTTTTATATTAAATTACGCGCACTTACCTTTGGGAAAAGTATGAATCCACTTCTTCTCCACCCAGCTATTGGTAAATTAGTATCACTAGAACAATATTATCCTAAAAAAAAAAAAAGAATAAAATTGCGTACAAGATCCCGACATTACATAACCCCTAAAGGTTAATACGCCGTGAAACAGAAAAAAAATCTTTTGACAATTTATTTCGTTTTATTCTTTTATTTATTGACAATAGGGGATAACGTGTTGTTTAATTTTAAATATTAATTATAACGTTTTGGTTAATTAAGGTTCAAACTTAATGTTCTTTATCATTAATATGGATTTCAAATATTTATCTGTCAATGCCGATGTGTAAAGAGAATTAATGTATTTCATCTTTGAAAATGCCTTTTCATACCGATAGATATAAATGCATGATTTTTTAATTGAATATTTAATTCAATGTTTTCTCGATGTTTACAGATTTCTGTTGGATTTATCTGTCGATATTTTCCTTGCATATTAATCATTTCCATTTGAAAATTAGCTGGATGTTCCTCAAGTGCATAGTAAATGGATTTTGCAGTTTTTAAATTTATTTGGCAGTTGTATTGAAGCCGTAAAAAACCGTAGTTTGAGTTCAGCAAATATAATCGTTGCCAATTTTGTGCAAGTGAAGAGCAAAAAACAAAGCATTTTCTATAGTTGTAGTTTTTTTTTTCTCTAAAATTATTTTTTTCAAATCCGTTATTTCTCATTTTATTTTAGTTTAGTTTTTCCATCATATACAGAGTGATGCAAAAGTAACGCCCTTTCTTACTTTTAACTAGCAGCCATACCCAGCTGGTCGATCAGAAAAAGCGTTCAATTACAATGGAGCAAAAACAGCATCATATTTAGATGTAACAGAATCTATCTTCTTCAATTACCTTAATGTACTTTCATTAAAATAAAAACATTTCGAATTAATGCTGTCACTGATATAACAGAAGTAGTCAGTATTTTTTCAATCGAAGTTAGCCGAGGACATGAAGAACTAAAACTGGCAACTTGAAGACCCACTTCAGGCCACAATTATTTTGGAGTTTTTGAAATTCAATTTGCGAGTTTGCTACCAGGGATGTAAAAGGGGATACATTTATAAATCAATTGTTAAATTTGATAAAAATAGGTTGAAATATCAACTAAAAATAAGAAAGAAGCCAGTAAAAGTCGCCATTTTTTTATATTTTCGCGGGTTTTCACTATATAGGTGGTCTCGATTATCAAGTTAAATGACTGTTAAACAATCAACTTATTGTTGGCTACAACTGAGTGAAGTTTGTATCTAGCCATTTCAACTGTAAAACGATGAGACCTTACTGCCAATCTAGTACTGCGCTTAGCTTCATAAAGTTTAAGTATCATAGATGAAAGATTGTCAGAACAATTACTATAAAAGTATTTATAGTAGAGTCACAGGCAAGCTACATTACGGTGGTAGAAAAGTGACTGAAGCCGAGATGCCAGGTCAAGCCCAGTAACAATGCAGATTATTCACTGGATTTTATCAATAATCTATAAATGTATGGCAAGACAACCAGACTATATGTGGCACAATATTGAAAGCATGGAGGAATGGTATCTTTATAAATATGTAAGATAGATTCTGGTGAGAAAGATTGCCAAGCACGACACAGCGAACCAACTATCCTAGCAGCATACTTAGCAATTGATTCAATATTATATTTCTTCATTATGTCAGCAAAGAATATTAATTTGAGAAGGCGCCACTTCATGACAGCAGAAATTCTTTAGCAAAAATAAATTAAAGTAGTTTAAGAAAGTTTATATAAACATTGTGTTGTAGAGTAGTTTTCACAGTGGAGGCTTGTATTTCAATAAGTCGTCCTAAATTAGGTTCGACGTACAAAACGTTAGGAACTTGAAATAAGAGTTAATGACGCAGCAATCTAGTTGTGATGGTTGGTACTTCAATGTCCGATATTGACTGACTCGCTGAACACCACTGAGCCCAACTGGCGACCGCTACTACTACTACTACTACTACTTATTATGTGTGTGAGAGTCTATTAATAATAGAATAGGTACGTCAGGTATAACATATTGTCACATGAAAACAACAAGATTTGTTATGATTAACAATCTGTTTATTATGATTAAAGTTATGCATTAATTTATGACAATTATGCATTATAATTTATTGACAATTATTGCATTGAACTTACGATCTGCTATTCAGCGACTGTTATCGTCGCATAGGAATTTTCTGTGTTAAAAGAACAAAATATCATCTTTGACGGTGGATATTTTTGTTTCATGCCTGTATAACCACCCTGACGATGACTCATACGAGTCGAAAGCTTAGGACCAACTTAACAAAAAATATCCAAATGTTGAACAATTTTTGTATTTATTTTCATCAGAAATTAAAGCCGACATTCGAACGGCTCGTGATCAAACATAATAGACATTCATTGGCTGTTATATCTAATAATATATTTATATATATATATATATATATATATATATATATATATATATATATATATATATATATATATATATATAAAGATGAAAGGTAAACTTATCCGACGCATTTCCTCCTCTAATGGATTCTATCAAGTCAACTGTAAGGATTTTATTTTCCAAGAAGTATTTATAAACAGATCTAAAAATGTTATTTATTTTCAAATTTTTAAATGTAAAAAACAATCATAAAGTTTCATCAAGCTAATTAATATCTCTAAGTAAATTATGGAAGGTGATAAATGATATAATTTAATGTCTAATAAACAAAAGTGAATAAATGATGTCGTTGCGCCATGTAAATCAATGAAGGGATGAAACTGTACAGTGTCGGCTATTGCGCTTTAATAGATAAGATTACCTTTGAATAGTACAAGTAGCAGCCTCATAATTTCAAAGGGAAGTGTGTATTTCTGCAAGGCATGGCCTCATACACATATGCCTATTTCTAGCCGTGCGTTTCTTGAACGTAAAAGATTTAATGAGACAAAATAATGGAATGGCCGCCACCAAGTCCCGATTTGAATCTGATTGAAACTTCATAGTCAACTGCGAAGATGAAATTATAGGAAGGTGACAAACATTTTAACAACAATGCTGACCTCTGAGAAGAAAATTAAAGTCACTTTGCCGGAAATTGAGCCAGTTGAATTTAAGAACATTACAAAAATCAATGGATTACTGACTGTGAAAATGACTGAAGAAGTGTGACTCCATTAACATATTGAATGCTTCAAAGATTTATAAGGTGTTTTTGTTATTAGTTCTATTATATGTGTTGATCAAATATAGATGATTTTATTAGCCTGTTATTGATGTGATATTGTGGTTCTAGAACGATAATATTAGACATCAGAGTTTAGAATAAATCAAACAGCTTCAAATAAATTATGTTAACACAGTATAAAATTACTCCTGTCTTTGTTTTTGCGTCTAAATTATGATGAAATTTTTCAAGGTAGATTCTAGTTATTGAAGTGTATGTCGTCTGCATAATTATTTAAAATGTGATATACAGGGTTATTGAAAAGTAATTCCCTATTTAATGCATAATGGACTCTCCTGTCTTATAAAAATTATAGTTAGACGGAAGGTTCTAGCATACATAAAATAATGAGTGACTTTTCAATCAGCATGTATATATATACTAGCAGTAT